TAAATTAAATCTGAATACTAAGAGAAATCTTTATATCACCCTCATCAGACCAATTCTACTCTATGCAGTTCCTGCATGGGCAACTGCCGGATAAACTGAACGCTAGAAAAAAAACGTCTTACCTAATAAGATTCTCCGTAGCATAACAAATGCACCTTGGTTTGTGCGGAACGCGCAAATCCATAAGGATTTAAAGATTCTCCCGATTCATGATCAAATACTAACTACAGCACACAACTTCTTTGAAAAACTGAAAAACTCACAATACCTAGCCATTAAAGAACCCACAGATAAAAGACCGCGAACTATACATCATAATGCATTATGGTGGTAGTGTACAGTGTATATCTTTTATTTCTACTTATTTTACGTATCTTATTACTCTTCATTACTCAAGATCAGTTTACGTTATGGACTATGCTCTGACAAAGCTTATGGACTTTGATTGCAACTTATATTTCTTACTTATTTACTTATTATTTTTATTTAACCAAGAATTTATTTAGTACTGTGTAGTGTTTTAAAGCAAAGACTTTGCTTTCAGTGAAAATTTTAGTTCGCGGTCTTATGACTCCTTCACTCGCTATTGGCCACCTCGCATCACGTGGTGTTTACTGTGCAACTTTAAAGAAATTAATTTTCTCATGCTTAATTTTACTGTACCCAAATTGTGTTTCTGAAGAATAAGGTTGGAACTCTGACTTATTTTTGAACTGTGCAACTTTTAATTTTAATTTTCTATTTAATTTTTAATTTTTTTACCCAATTGTTTTTTTTTTTTTTTTAATTTTTTTTTTTTTTTTTTTTTTTTTTTATTTTACTACTTAACTACTGAATTTGGGGGAGGCGATACCCCCATTTTAATGGATAATAAAGAGCGAAATAATGAAATATATCATTATTTCGCTCTTGGGGACTCGCATGCCATGGCTGAAGCCATGGCAGCGGTATTATAAATATAACAAACTTGCTAATACTTCACGGACATAATTGATGTTTTCTAAAATCAAAGTTTTTTAGGGTACTTGAAAAGAATCTTTATTTAACACGTGGGTGTGTAATCTTTATTTAACACAGTGCCACAGCAAAATCTGGTAAAATAGTCTGTCGGATCATTTTTTTAATTCTAGTGGTTTCGTGTCTTTTTTATCCTAAAAATCAGTTCAGTACCTAATCTGAATATATTTTTATGAATATTTAATAAATAGATAAACAAATAACAGATTTATATTTTAAACAATAAATTTATTACATTTCAGTTCATTGTAGATTAACCCAAGAGTTCTATGTCTCAATAGGAAAAATTGGTAAAATTAGACAAATACTGTATTACAATACAAATAATAAAACATAATACATAACCAAAAATAAATAACTTAGTGAATGTGTAAACATCTTAAAAAATATCGCTAGTCTTGTATTCTTTCAATAAACAACACAATCCGATTTAATTATAACTTCGTTGTTTTACTTCATAAATAATGATTACTTATTGCAGCAAAATCTATATTAAAATCAGATAATAATCTATGAAAAAAAGCTTCCAGAAGCCGAAACCAAGAATACGAACAACTTTCTGAATGTAGAAATAATTTTAACCATATAAATTGATCCATTTGTGAAGCACCGATGACTCACACAGCTTCAAACAATACAAAATTTGAGTCACATTCGATGAGCATGGCTCCGAAAAGTAAGGCCGCTATGAATCATCGATGATGTACATGGCAGTCAATGTGTTAAAGTGCATGTACAAACTCAATTACTAAAATAAAATAATTTTTTAGCTAATCGTGCATAGTTTAATATCTGTACAGCTTAAAAAGAACTGTGTAAACTGTTTCATTTGACTTATGAATAATTTAATGGGCAGTTTTTTTATTACGCACATCGGTGCTACATAAACTGCCATAAAAAATCAGCAAGAATAAGCTAATGTTTGGTCTTCATGACAGCTGGACGTGCTAGTCATGAGAACAGGCAAAGGCCAAATGCGATAATTCTTTATATCATGACCTGCATTCTCAAATATAATTTTTTAAAACTGTTTTCGATAATTCGAATAATGTTATATACCAAGTTCGCAATGCCAAAAATGAAAAAAGTGCCAAGCATATTAAAAAAAAGTGTTTAAATTATAGCGATTTAAAAATCTGGTTAACTGATAAATGTACGAATTATTCAAAGTTATTTAAAATTATAAAAAAGTATTGTCAGTCTGTTATTGAACAGTTACATTATTTATTATATTTGTGAGACGAAAATGCATAGTTTCTAGAGATTCTTAGATTCAATAACGGTAACTGTTAAAAGTTAGCTTTAAAAAAAAATGTGGATATTGTCTTTAAATATGATTAAAAAAATGGCATAACATTTGCATCATATTCAAATATCACACGAAATAATTTTAAAAAAGTTTCCCTTTATTTAATTAACAGGGCATAACATGAAATCATTCACAAATATTCAAACGTGATGAAATCGTTCATCACCTTATTTGTGACGGAATAAAACAAAATGCAGTAAACTCTCTAGTTGCGTCCATCTCTGAAAAGAACAAAATATTTCTAAGACTAATATCGGTACTGAAAATCACTTTCGCACAAGATCGAAATCATATGGAACCTTGAGAAGTAGAGAGGATCACCTCAAAAACAGGTAAGATCCTGAATACTGTTAATTTTTAAAAAAGTTGAAATAACTTAATTTTTTAGAACTATCCTGAAACTGAAAGCGAAACTAACGATATATTATTTCAGTTAGGTGTTGCGTTGTTTAGAATAAAGACATAAATATAGGAGAACTTCATTAATGTTTCTTAAACTTTCTATTTACACAGGAGTTCATCTGTCAAATTTATTGTAAATCACTTAAAATCGCTGAATATGAATTATTTTAAAATTACGCTATGAATATACATTTATAACAGAGAAAGGAATGTGACATTCCAAGTCATTTTATGTCTCATGATTATCAATAAAGCTCTAAATAAACATTGGTAAAATAAATTAACATCTCTCTAAGATCTAATATGAGGTATGGTCTTTTCTATAGCCAGACAGGTCGTGTAGCGTGACGGCATACTAGACAGGACGCAGATGAAGAGCCCCTATGGCAGTCGGTCTCATTCCTGCAACAAGACAGTTTTCAACTCCAGGATGATTCTTGGAAGGGGGAAAATTGCCCTCCTAAGAGCGTCCCAGACATGCTTTATAGGGATATATTATTTCAGTTAGGTGTTGCGTTGTTTAGCCAGGTGGCGAATATCCTCACTTTCCAGGTTACTGTTGACCAGCTGAGCCCTATGTGGACGAGCTTTGTCATCCATTAACAGGAACACCGGACCAACTGCGCTCCTGAAACATACGATCTAAGATTGCCTCTCTATACCTCATAGAAATCAGAAAGCCTTTGTCAAACACATGAAGGGGGTGTGGGGCCGTTCAGCATAATGCCTACCCAACTATTACACCTCCATCACCATAATGATCCTTTACCACGATGAGGGAGGGAGGGATGGTATCGTGTTCCAGGTTCTTTCCAGATGCATACACAATAAGAATCAATGGCCAGGCATATCTCGGCTCGTGTAAAAAGCACGCACTGAAGTCTGTGTATTGAAGTGAGCGGAACGCAAATAGCAGGTCTTTTGGCATACAGCCCTATCTCATGAAGCCTTCAGACAACTGTAAACCGTGAAACTCGGATTTCAGCGGCAGCACAGAGCTCAGGTGAGAGTTGTGAATCTGTAGCAGTTCTGTGTCGCAGCGCTGAAAGAGGCAAATAGTGAGCTTCAATCGTCGTTGTGGATTTTGGTCGGCTTTGGACCTTGGTTGTGGATCTTGGTCGAACTTTTCAAAGTCCTGAAACTGTTTCCATAAATTGCTGACGACACTGGGTGTCACATTGAGCTCTTTAACTACCTGCGCTTCTGATTGATCTGGCGACAATCTACCGTTAATCGCCGAGCGTGGCTTTGAAACAGGCATGTAACTAACTGGCTTTTACCCGAATCTGGGAGAACTCTTCTAGGCCATTGGCTTTATACATACACACCGTAATCGGCGAAACTCTATAGCAAATTACTGTGGCTACCATTGCATTTAACTCTTTGATTCCATCGCAGAAGTGGACGCTAGTCCGAACTGGTGATAAAAAATTTTCCAACATGCAGATAGGTGATTTACTGTAATGTGGTGCCAACTAGTGGTTATAGAACACATGAAATGGAGGGATGAAAAAATCCTCGAAGTCTCTGATATACACAGCAAAGGGGCAATGAAATAAGAATACAAATGAAGTGTAATACAATTTAGATATTAAAAAAGGAGATATCAAATATACACAAATATATACAGGTGCAATCACAATGCAGATTAATATCCAGTATTGTAATGAATTGTTGAAAACCCCTCGTGCGCTGACATTCTTTTCACGATCATAGCTCCGCAGATACGCACATGTACGATTACGTATTCGACTCTGAATATTTGCATAATTCTTTGGCGGCATAATTAGTACCTTAGATTCAAAAACTTTTCTTAAAAATAAACATAATTTGCAAATTCTCTTAATTTTGCCCACGAGTGACTTAATGAAAAGTTCATTGAATTAAATTCAGTAATTTTTTTTAATTCCCTGTGCTATAGTCATTAAGTTTGTCAATTAAGGATGCAAAAATATCATTTCAAACAATTAATAGTAATCAAAGTGTGACATAATTCATGAAATTTTTCATTAAATCAGGATATTGTCAAGTCGAGGTTATTTTTACTTAATCATATTTTAGGAAAATGCTAAAACTTTAGTGTATGTTTCCAAACTGCCCAGGTCTTTTATGCATGCAAATAAAAATATTGTTTTTCTTTTTTTATTTTAATATAAGATAAATTTTCCCGATTTCATACACTTCAGATCAAATTAATAAAATAAATTGTTAATTCAAAGTTGAAAACAGCATTCAAACTCTGGAGCTTAATGAAATGACAATTCTCTTTCAGTATTGTCAGTGTATGGTGTCTAAAACACAGGACTAGTCACCTGGTGAAGTACAGGTGACATAATTTTTAGAATTCAGGAAGTTACTTGATGGCAAAATCTTGAAGATATATAGATTACATTGGGAAGCCAGTCAGAACGTTCTCTTCCTTTTTTAAACCTCTTGCTACTGAACAAGGACCAAAATTCTTATGCATATATGACATGTTCTTGTATTGCCTTCTTTATAGATCTTAATAAATTTTAAAACAAATTGCAGTTATATTCCTTTGAAGACTTCTATCTCTTAATTATTATAAAAATCAAAATGAAATAAAGATATAAAAAAGGATGCTCATTATTTTTGAAGTTTTAATGTGAAAGATAAATTAAATATTACACTACACTGAATTATAACTTCTGAAAACTGGCAATTACAGTCAAAAGTCGTTAATTCGGACACCCATAATCCGGAATGATCTACTAAAACTTTCTTCGCATGCGTCGCGTTCACGCATGCGCATAGGCGTTTACGCGTGCGCGTAAGACCTTTACGGCTGCGAATATACATGTGCGCATGCGCATAATACGTTTACGCATGCGCGTTTAATGTATAACGGACGGTATAAGCTAAAATTATCTATTTCAGTTAATGTTGCAGATTGCGTTGTTCTTTAATCTTCGAATTGGATCCGGCTTATTATTTTTTGCAGACTGTTAGAGCAATTTTATAAAAGTAAGCTTGAACTTCCGATTATGTCAAATAGAATTTCCGATATATATTTACTAATATGTAAAGGATCTACAAAGCAAAAGTATGTTTCGAAGTCCATTAAACAGAAAGTGGAATTGCTGCAAAAAATGGATAAAGACATATCCTTTGATTATCTAATCATTCCGAAATATGTTTATCAATTTCACGCTGCTCTGCGGGGGAAGGAAGGAAACGACACGGCGCGCAATGAATTGGAAGTTGATCTGTCAGCACTATCCTTATCTTCAGGGCAGATGTTTTTATTTTATTTGGCTTATAATTCTTTACTAAATGTAGTATTTCATCTCGATGTACTCGGTCTTTGATATGATTTAAATCAAGTTCCTCGTCATTATAATTCGCTTCCGATAGTGAAGAAAGTGACTCAGAGGTTATTGAAAACGAAAAAATTTCGATTGACAAATTAGTCGGTATTCTCGACACAGCAATTATAGGACTTGAACAGCGGAACTTTGTAACTAAACAAGAAATTATGTCTGTTTAATAGAATTAAAGAGAAAGTATTATCACATGAAACGAAGCAAATTAAACAACTTACATTGAAAGAAATGTTTAATAAAGTTAAACAAATAAATATTTAGCTTTTTCTTTTTGTAAATTTTGATACCCTTTAGATCATAATTGCTCTTTATTTCATAAATTACGGTTTCATATTTTTAATTTTATAATTTCTGCATGCCATCTTACCAGATTTAAACTGATGATCTATGAAAAATCGATAATCCGGAATCGCCGAAGTCCCGACGAGTCCGGATTAACGACTTTTGACTGTATTATGCAGCAAGGACGATAAATACTTCAATAGAATAACAAAATGTAGCCCAATGAAGATTCAAGAAAAAGATTAAGAAATGCTCATGTTTTTTATTACATTGTTCCTTAAGCTAAAAAAAAAATTTAGAACTACCGCGAGTGATTTGTTTTCTCATAAGCTCAAGATTTGATTATCTCTGAAAACAATCATCTTGCAGAGGTAAAATGGCAGTATCGAATTAAAAATTCTAGTGAATCCAAAGTAAAATGAAATAAGTTTTGTACACACACTGCAGTTAAAAAAAAAAAAAAGTTGTGGTTGGATAAAAATGCACTTGAGTTACATATGCGGCATTAAACTGACATTTCAAGTTTAATAATTAAACGCAAAAACAAATTGGAAAAATCAAAATTTTATGCATGCACACACACACACAGGGGGGGGGAGGGTAAAGATGAAACTTATTTGTTTATTTTTATTAACAACAATTTATCCTTGCACTGTAATACATAAGAATTATAACTATCTCTGCCATATTCACTAAATGGAAAAAAAATGAATAAAAGTTTAGATTAGGATATTTGAATACAGCAAAGAACACGAGAGCTATCTGCCTCTCCTAAGGAAAAATGGCTCACATTTACGTTACACACAGGAAAAACCATACAGCCAGTACTTTCACCTATGATCAAACTTCCAGCATTCAGCAGTCTTAACTACTCAGCTACGTGTGGGACTAAATCAATAATCAGAATTAATATTTAGATATTCTATGACTTGAACCTAAGTATAATATATAGTGTTCATTAAAATGTTTTAAATAAATCTATAATATATATATATATATAAAAACTTAAATGTGTCATTTACTGATATTTTATGTATGAAATATATGTCTTTTAGAAAAATTTTAATTGCTTAGATAAGGAGAAGTCTTTTGGGTAAAAAAAATCAGTATGTTGGGGTTCTCCATCCACACATTAATAGTTCAAAGCACATTGAAATCATTAGAAATGGGCTAGCCGTAAAGGTGGTTTTGTGGTTTTTCTGGATCCTAAATAGAATACCAGCCATAAAGGTAATTTTTATCTTTAGATAGTTAAGTCACTGTGTGCTTTTTCATAATCATTAAATGTTATGTTACAGAAATTTAGGTCAGTTATTTAATTTGTGATTATATTGCTCAAATGTGTAAAGCTTAGTTAAAATTTTGATGTAAGCACAATATCAAGATACCACACTATCTTGAACTTTTAATTATATCAGTCTTTGGAAGTTTTAAGGTATTTATTTTTTAAATGTGTGAGTAGTAAACTAATACATATCCATGTCATAATACATTTTAAGCTAATAATGAAATGCAAGATCATCACAAAGAAATTGGATTATTTTTATAATTTAACTCAGACACATTAAATCATTATTTAGCATTTTAATGTACATTTTTGAATAAGAAACTTGATTGTACACAGATCTAATGCTTTTTTAGAATGAATTATAAATAATTAAGGACATCAGCATCTCCTCAGCTGGAAATGGAACCAAAATTAACGAAACCACAGCACTAACAATTCTGTTATTAAATAGCAAATATAATTACTAATTTTTCAATAATTTAAAGTGATTATAAAAATATTTCACATTATAATATAAATGTTTCTCCCTACAAAATGGCAAAAGCATTAAAATTATTGACTAGCTTTTGAACAATTAAGTACTATGTGACGTCATTAGATTATTTTGAAGCAGGAGGTGTGAAAAATGTGCAATGTTCTCACAGGAACCCTGGAACTCTCGAATATGCATCGAGTCTGTTTTCAATTACACCATGAAGACATGTGGAAGGACAGGAGAAAAACTTTATTTTATAACTATCTTACAAGTAAATGATCAACAAACATTTTGAAAGGAACAGAATACATCTACAAAGAAGATATTAGGACAAACTGGTAATATTTGAGTTGATCTTCATTACTAAAATAACCTTAAAATACAAGTTCTAGTAACCCAGTAGTAGAAACATTAAAATCATTATTTACCATCTTAATGTACATTTTTTTAAAAAGAAAATTAACTATACAAAGATCTAATGCTTCCTTAGAATGAATTATAAATAGCTAAGGATGTCAGCATTTTCTCGCCTAGCACAGGAACCCATAAATTCAAGAAATCAGTGTTACCTACTCTGCTATTAAATCAGTTGCACGTTAAAGTTTTAATCTTTAATTTGCACAGATTTAATCAATCAATATATATACTAATTTTTCAATAACTGGAATAAAATCTTTAAATCTGTTTATTTTTATGGAGTCAATCAACAGTTTATTTTTGTATTTCTTATATCAAGTGCCCAGAAAATATCCAGTATGATCATTATGTATTAGTTTCTATACTATATTAACTTATTAGTTGTATTTTGCTGTTTAACTTGAAGAGAAAAATTAAAAAATTAAAATAAATGATAATTAGCTTTTAGTTGCCTTTCATTTTTTAATTAATCTCAAATCAAACATAGTTCAGTTTGCTTTATAAATGAAGCTAGCTATTCAACAGAAAATTCTTCAGCAAAGCATGTGTGAGTGCTATTTGTCAAAAGGGAGGAGTGCTTTTGTGGAGGACTTTCTAGAGGAAACTGGTTGGTATCCAAGTTACACATTGGAAATTTGCAAAAATGCTCATGTAGCCAACCCTTTCGATTGGAATCCAACTCAGGTCAAACTATTAGTATTCAGTAACTTTACTGCTTGGCCACTGATGGGATCCAAATCAAACATATGTTTAATTATTAAAATGAGCTATTGAACAGAAAATTCTAAAAGAAACGATAATTACTTATCCAAAACAAAAGTAACATAAATTTATCCAAACCATTTTAATTTGCTAATTAAAGGAGATTTAAACAGTTTATTTATAATTTGAAACCATGCAATATGATTTCTTAATTTTTTACAAAGTTTAACCATATACAACATGATACACCATTTACTTATTATTAACTAAGTTGTATGAGGTGCATAGAAATTTGATGAAAATCTCAATTATAAAGTATAATTTATATATCACAATGACAAGTTTACATAAGTAAGTTGAATCAAGGATATTTTGTTGTTGCATATCTGTTACAATATAAAAACAGGATCAAATTAAATTAAGATAAATTAAAATTATTAAACATTTATTATTATACTTGTTTTGTGTTATAAAAACCTGCTGAAATCGGTGTAGAGTAATAGCTATTCTGATCATTCACAATTTACGAATTTTATTTGAGAAAAGATAACGTAAGTTCAAAATTATAAAAGATCTAACTATGAGATGTTAGAAAATAAAATTAGGACTAATATTTTGAAACTACATTTGTTCAAAGATTAATAAACCATGCTTCATATCGAAAGACTTTTGATGATCCTGATAAAAACTTAATTCAGGAAATACTGAAAAATTATTTCAGTGATACGAATTATTGTTATAGTATTAAGTGATTAAAAAATATTTCAGAGTATACTGTAAATGCTTCTCCTTATAAAATAGCGTTTAATACGTTAAAGCATTAAAATTAGTGATTAGCTTATGGAAAATTTCTGTCTGCATACGAACAACGAACAAAAAATTTCAGTAAAGAACAAAGAAAGAAAATGCGCGAAGATCCCAAAATCACGACAAATTGGCGACATTTGAGTTGCTCTTCATTACTATGACAAAACTTCTTCTAGTAACCCGGAGCCAAAACTCTTCATCTGAACGTCATGCGTGATTGACATTCATTATAACCAATGAGAGGGTTCCATTTAGTGGGAGGAGCGAGAAGAGTCGGTAACGTTCTAACATTAACCAAATTTAAAAAAAAATGAATTAAAATAATATTAAAAAAATATTTCATACAAATTTATAACTAATCCAATATTGCATCAAAAATTTTGTTAATCGTGCGAAACAATTAAAACGAATTTTTATACATCGTTATGTTTCAGATTAAAATACGTCTTATTATTATTATTATTATTATTTTAACTTTCGAGTTATTGTTTATCAGGCAAGGTAAAAATGGCATTAGGAATACTTTCAAACCTCACTGTAACTTTAACCACTATATTGTAAAGCATTTCTTCGGCGCTTTTTGTAATTACCGGTAATTGTGTTGAACCTTTCGTATATACTTTCCTGTATATCTGTGTACTTGTTCTTAACATCATGAAACTTGTCCGATTCTTAATGAAGCTGAGTCATGAGACTGTAACTATAGAATTAAAAAATGGTACTCAGGTACACGGAACGATAACTGGCGTGGATGTTGCAATGAATACGCATCTGAAAGCTGTTAAAATGACAGTCAAAAACAGAGACCCTGTTCAATTAGAAACGCTTAGCATTCGTGGAAATAATATTCGCTATTATATCCTTCCAGACAGTCTTCCTTTGGAAACACTGTTAGTTGACGACACACCGAAAGCGAAAGCTAAGAAGAAAGAAGCTGCTGTTGGAAGAGGACGAGGCAGAGGCCGCGGAAGAGCCCGTGGACGTGGAAGAGGCAGAGGTCGTCGATAAATTGTACTCGGAGATTGTGAAAACATTTGTTATCTATTTCTGATCATTGTTCACATGAGACTGAAAAACTGACATCAGTCTGTTGAGATCCATGAAACTAAAATGAAATTTGCATTAAATTACACCATTTGACAGTTTTTACAATGAAAATTCTTGATTTTTAAATTATAGCATTCTAGAATATAAGTTCATTACATCCAAAGTTTTCGAAATGTTTTTTAAAAATATATGTTCATTGTCTAAAATAAAGTATACATTTTTGCATCATTTTGTAATTTAAATATAAAGAGTGGATAGAAACATTAGTAAGGCATTAAAATGTAGATTGGATTTTTACTATTGTGTTCCCATACATTCTTTTTCAAATCTATTAAAAAATTTCAGCAAGTTTAATGAAAATTTAAGTTGCATGTTATTGTGATCAGTATTAAGTGAAACAACAGCAGTAAGTATTGATTCATTTTGCATTTCTGTTTAGTTAAAATTGAGAATTTACTGTGGAAATTTAAGTTTTGAAAAATGAGAATATAACATTTTTAGGATGCATATACATTAAGCTTTAAGAGGTAAAATCCTAGGAGAGCCCACACCCTTGGCGACAAACCGGGAAAGTGCAGAATCACCCACTGCTTCGCGCGTTTCTCAAAATCGACAACTTGAAAATAACAAGTCAAAAAATTGCACAAACTCGGTATCCATGTACACATCGACCTATTTTCACTTTAAAAGACATCCCAAAATTGCAGACTCCCTTGACTTTGTCCATGTACACTTCGATACGTGCCATACAAGTGGGCATGCCAAGGGTGTGGGCTGTGCTAGGATCCAACTGCTTTAAGAGCATTATCTTTAAATGTTCTTTTAACCCTCCAGGTTGCACAGCTGTTTAGTTCCTACTCATGAAACCCTGTATTTAAGTGGCTTCTATTTGCTAATTTTTTATAATAGCTTATTTTAATACTTATTTTGTTGAACTTCCATTCATTAAGATATATTTACATTATTAAAGAAAGTAAGAGAGCAAAATGTTTTAATTTATAATATAATTTACACCAAGTGATGAAAAATCTCATGACTAGATAAAAGCAGTCATGCCACTTGGGATTAAAGCATATTTAGTGAATATAAAATCAGTGAAAATCCATTATTTTCTAATATCATTCGTAGTATTTACCTTTAAATCTGTCACTGCTTGAGAGGTAGTTTAAAATTAAATGTTTCCAGGATAAATTTTATAATGACATTCATGGGGATACTCAGACAACCGTCACTTGTTATAAAATTTAACGTTATATTTTTTTATAAAAAGCTTTATTTTACATAGATTTGTATTTGGGAAAACAGAATATGAAGATTAACTGTTTTATGGCCAGTGATGATGCAACATATTCTGCCAAATGTGTATTTTGTCAAGCTTAAAGTCTTGATAATACTAGTAATTGTATAGTAAATCTTTACGGGGTGAATTTGAAAAAGTGGGCAAAACTTTATGGAGTTACAGAATGTACCCATACAAGCAATATTTGTCATAGAAAGTCTGGGCAGAACACAAAAGGCAAGCCACTAGGTCACATTCCCATAGGTTGGCCACCAAGATCACTGGATCTCGTGCTAGGACTTTTCGGATGGGGCCATATGCAAAGACTATTCTACGATTGCCCTCTTGAAACCAATATGGATCTAGTGACCAGGATTGCCGGCAATATTCAGGAAATACCTCATGTCTTCACAAATGTGCGTCAATCTCTGTTGCACAGCTGTGAAACTTGCATACAGCTGGCAGAATGTCTTTTGAGCATGTATATCAATTACATTCCTGTTAATAAAATGTTTTCTGTAGTATCTTCTCTCAATCTTGTGTTAATTCTTTAAATGTGACAGTGAAAAAGTACCTTTTAGCTTCTCGCCACTTGCTTTCTGGCCATACATTCTATGACGAATACTGCTCGTATAGCTATGTCACTCCGTAACGTTGCCCACTTTTTGAGATTCATCCTGTGTATCCCAGATCCATTCTGCATGGAATTCTAGAAGGAAATATTAATATCTAACCTGAAAATTTTAAAACTGGTGAAATTTGTTATCAGCTGTATTAACTATTATACAGTATGACAAACTAGAGATCAGCTTCAAGTTCACTTCATGAAACTGTACTCTAGTACAATAGTTTCTATTCAAAACTGAAAAGTTTTGAATTATATTTTAATATAGTTTTTCATTCAGACTCTTGTGTATTTAAGTAAACCATTTCTGGTTGTCCAATTTTACTTAAAATTAATCAAATCTTTATATGAATGTAGAAAGCTTAAATATATAAAATTACTGGAAATTAAGATAAGAGTTATCATAGATGAAAACATTATTATGCTCACACAGAGAGATGGATATCATTGTAAAAATAGTAAAAAGTGTTTTAGAAACCCTAATATATGCTTATTCACTATTGAATCTTTGATCAAACACATTACTTCCCATACTTATGTATACAGTTTGGCAGGAGGTAGTTACGAAGGCAGATGAATTTAAAAGTCTTGATCAGAAAGATCGGAGAAATGATGAGCCATTATGTTATATTACTATTACCATGTTCTTTATCATCAGTATGACATGATAACTGTTACTCCAAAACATCTTTAACTTTCAAATAACCTGGACAGAGTATAAGATCTTTTAAATTGTAACTAGTTGCCTAATATTTAAATTAACATTGTACATCACGTGCCTTCGTACAAAGTATAGTTTTTATGCATCTAATAATAAAAGATTTTCACTAAATAAGATGATTGTTATTAATCAGTGTGGCCATATATTGTTACACTGCCACTGTTATGAAAATACTGGAAGGAAAAATTAAAACAACAGCTGAAAAACACTCATCTAATTTGAACGATTTTGCAGCTAAGAACATGAAACATGCACAAGACCTTTACTTCATCGTGCCTGACATATTTCAAAATGCAGAACTGCCCATTTCTGGGGAAAAAAATGAATTTAGATATGAATAAGGAAATGTCATAAGCTGGGATAATAGAAAAAACAGTAATAAATTGTATGGTCACCTGACTGAAATGTATGCTTTACTGAATACGTGCTTTTCCATGCTGTATATTAGACTGTGGAAAAGTTCCTGTGGTAATGACACCTGCAGCAGTATTTATGATAAATAGTGCCTTGAAGCTCCTTGAGAGTGGTAAATGGGGGCTGCAGTGATGCAAGTCAACAACTAATAGTCTTACTTTAAAATAAGAACTTCAAAGTTATTTTCCACCATCCAACTAATAACATGTAAATAAAAGCTGTAACAGATAATTTTTTCCCCTTTTAGCGTGTTTCACTTAATGAAAAACACATGAATGAAGGTTGACTTGAATTCTGACAGTGTCCTTGAAGTGCCTATTTTAAAGTAGTAGACTAGCTCATTCTGCATGTTCCATTGAATTATATATTCAGAGAATATGCAAGCCACTGCATCTGCTGGGTTCCTTTGTTATCAAGATAATCAGTCACTAGAGCAGTGCAATGCAGACAAACACTGCTGTCTATTAGAAGGAAGTTATTGCCAACTGCACCCCTAAACAACTTCACATAAAGATCAAGAACCTTAGCTTAGTATATTTAGCCACACTGGTTAAAATGCATCATTCATATTGATAGCCATCCATATAATTACACTACCTTTGTACTGATTCTTTCATGGATGTTTATATAAGTTTTGTTCTCTCCAGATTGTAGCACATCTAGAATTATTCTGCAAACAAAAACGAGTCTCGCTGAAAAACAGAACTTAGCTTCAGTCTCTGCAACCAGATACATTTTGCAGCCTGAGTTAGTGAAACACAAATTATGAATTTCCTTGGGTTAATCTTTGGATTATGGTAACTTGGCGAAAATTTGGCAACCAACCCTGCTACAGCAACCTTCTACTTTTTTTTTTTTTTTTGCCGCCATTTTGTCTTCACGAAGTAAAGACAGGTTTCTTTTCTTTTTTATTTACTCAACATTTTTTTCCAACAATCTGCTAGCCGAATTATGCTTATGCTAGAAATTTTATGGAACAAAAGTGCTTAATCATGACGAATATTAACTGCAAAATTGGGAGAAAGTGCAGAATTGCAAACTCCTTGCCGTGTTTTTCAGAATGGCACATACACAGTAACCATGTACACGTCGACCTAGTTTTACTTAAAAAAAATCCCAGAATTTTTCTCATAAATTAGAAAAATTTGCACGAAAATGCAGGAAAATTTTGTGAATCTTTAAAGTCAGTAAAAAGGACATATATGAAATTACATGATCGCGAAAAAGTATATACAGTCAAAAGTCGTTAATTCGGACTCCCATAATTCGGAATGATCTATAATCCGGACATCAAAACTAAAAACTTTCTGCGCATGCGCAGAGGCGTTCACGCGTGCGCGTAAGACCTTTTACGACTGCGCATATGAGTGTGCGCAAGTGCAGAATACGTTTTTGCGCGCGCATTTTATGTATAATGGACGTATAAGCTAAATAATTATCTATTTCAGTTAATGTTGATGATTGCGTTGTTCCTTAATTTTCGAATTGCATCCGGCTTATTATTTTTTGCAGACTGTAAGAGCAATTTTATAAAAGTAAGCTTAAACTTTCGATTATATCAAATAGAATTTCCGATATATATTTGTTAATATGTAAAGGATCTAAAGCGAAAGTATGTTTTGAAATCCGAAATCTGTTTATCAATTTCACGCTGCTCGGCGGCGGGCGCGTAATGAATTGGAAGTTGATTTGTCAGCACTATCCTTATCTTCAGCGCAGATGTTTTTATTTTATTTGGCTTATAATTCCTTACCAAATGTAGTATTTCATCTCGAAATGCTTCGTCTTTGATATGATTTAAAACAAGTTCCTCGTCATTATAATTCGCTTCCGATAGCGAAGAAAAGTGACAGAGGTTATTGAAAACAAAAAATTTCGATTGACAAATTAGTCGGTATTCTTGACACAGCAATTATAGGACTTGAACGGCGGAACTTTGTAACTGAACAAGAAATTATGTCTGTTTAATAGAATTAAAGAGAAAGTATTATCACATGAAACGAAGCAAAACTTAAACAACTTACATTGAAAGAAATGTTTAATAAAGTAAACAAATAAATTATTAAGCTTTTTCTTTTTGCAAATTTTGATACCCTTTAGATCATAATTGTTCTTTATTTCATAAATTACGGTTTCATATTTTTAATTTTATAATTTCTGCATGCCATCTTACGAGATTTAAACTGATG